AAATATTGTAAGTTTGCTTAAATTTTGTCGCGATTTAGTCCTGCTTAAGGCAGGAATTTTTCAAAATTGTTACGTATTTCGTACAAATGAATATTTGTAAACGATAAGTCTTACCGGTATTAAATGAGCGCGAAATTAATGACAAGTTAACAGATCCAGATAGGATGCAATGAAAGGTATCAAGGCTAGCATGTTTTTGTCGTATAAGTATAATGTTTTCTTTCCTCGTTTTCTTTTGCTACGCACAGCTTATGTGCTTTACATTTATCATGATGGTTCACGATCTCTAGTCTAAAATTGCCATTTCCCGCAGCAAATGAAGTACGAATTTCTGGTATAGATTCGCTCCACTTTCTACAGTATTTGCAAAACATAAGGTTCGATCGCTCATCATACTGCAACCAGGAATACATGCCTAACCATCCTGGTTTAAATTTACCAGCCTTTCTATTATGTGGAGTAGTACGTTGCAAGTTTGCGCACTGAATTATCGGCTGAATTACAGACAATCCTGGTTCCTGATTTATTTGTAACGATCTATCACTTTCAAGTCTCTTAGCAACTGGATATTCGGGTAACGACTCGTATGACTGGGTTTGATCAATGCTATTGCTTTTATACGAATGGTGTGTGTTCATAGATATGGCTTGACTTAGCGGATTATGCGAATTTCCGGGGAATTCAGACGCAATTCCCGACATATCGATATAGAGAGAACCTCCAGCCATGATGGCACTTTCGCGAGAAACCTGCACCCCAGCGGAATCTGGACGATTTGAAGTCATGTTCTGTACATCCATAGTTTCGTCACTCTTCCCATCTCTTTGAACCTCCCACTCCATTTTAGTCTGTCAACAGAGAAGGAAAGGATATGTGCTTAATCAACACATCTCGACCAATTTTTTTTTTTTAGCAGAAAAAGCCAATTCTGTAATCTCTAATTAGAAAATCCCTTCCTTCCCATGTTTGTTTCGACTATAGGACGACGGTAGGTAATCGTCATCAATTGTGGGAACAGTAACGAAACTCCGTTATAGGGACAATTATCTTCACGATATATCACGAGAACTTTGCACTTCATTCACGATTGTGCAAAGTGTTTTAAGCGAGAAGAAGCATATAGCATCTTCGGAAAAAATGCGGATATAAAATAAAAATATCTTAATGGACACACAGAATCTAAGTTACATGCTGTAATAATAATAGGATAATAATAATACTTTGTTACGCGAACACTTCACACCACAAAAATGTTCAAACAATTTATACGTGCATTCTTTTAACATTTAAGTATTCTCAAAGAAATATCTTACAGAAATAATGTATTAACTAGTAATGCATAATTACATAATTAAAAATTATATGTCTAGAGATAAATGTAATAAGATAAGACACAATAAAATTTCTCAAGCTTTTTTGTAGTGCATGTGACTTTAGATAAAGAAACCAAGAACATAAACAATCTTATCATTATTATCTTTTATGCAATCACGATAAATACATCAAAAAATAATTTTCTTCAACTGCATCGATAATACTTTCAAATAAATTGAAGTACTTATAATCAACTCTTTACCAGCAAGGAAGATTATATACACATATATTTTATTGCATGTAACAACATAGATCGTGCAAAGTTAACAAAAAATTTGAACAAAGTTAGTATTCTACATTACTAAACGAGTGAATGCAACAAGAAAAAGCGAAGCGAATACATATGTGCAGGGCAGAGATAGAAAAAAAATGATTAATCAAAAACTAAAATATGAAATACATAAATGTCGAAAATTACTTACGGGGAGGGAAATATTGTCATGGAAGTCGGGCAAGTGGTGATCCACCTCTTGTTTAATAGGAGCCTGCGGTTGTGAAGCAGGGGACATGGGTCGACCACCATCTTCCATCTCAACTCCCAGGGCATTATTTAACTTTGGAATCACAGGAGGACTTGATTTGTAACTACACTGCGAGGATGTCTGAAAATAATCGATCAAAAAAAATTTTCTTCATCTTTCTCTGAATGCTGTACCTCGATATTATTAATAATTGTAAGATTTGAGGTTAAGAACT